CTGTTAGAGAACATCTATGATGAAAAAGAAACAGCTCTTTCGCGGAGATTGTGTGTGGCTCTTAAAAGAGCCGTTTTGGGGGCCAGTTTCCAGCAGTCAAAGAGTGTCCAGGTTTACTTGGACTTGGCGGCCTTCTCGGTCTTCTTGGGCAGCAGAACAGCCTGGATGTTGGGCAGCACGCCGCCCTGAGCGATGGTCACTCCGCCCAGCAGCTTGTTGAGCTCCTCGTCGTTGCGGACAGCCAGCTGCAGATGACGAGGGATGATACGGGTCTTATTGTTGTCACGGGCAGCGTTTCCAGCCAACTCCAGGATCTCAGCGGTCAGGTACTCCAGCACAGCCGCCAGGTAGACGGGGGCGCCAGCACCGACACGCTGCGCATAGTTTCCTTTGCGCAGCAGCCTGTGGACACGGCCGACTGGGAACTGGAGCCCAGCACGGGAGGAGCGGGACTTTGCCTTGGCTCTGGCTTTACCACCGGTTTTTCCGCGGCCACTCATTTTTCAGATGCTCTCTAAAATCGGGACAAAGAGAAGTGTTCTCTCAGCAGCTGAAACCCTCCTCTATATATCCACGGAGCGCGGGACGGTTCCTGCCAGACCAACCAGAAAAGAGGCTTCAGCAGAGCAGCAGAGGGCGGCCCAGCCTGAATTTTGGCGGACCTTTTGAAAGGATTTTCAGCCAATAAGCAGCGGAGATGTGGGCGGTGGGTCGCTCCTTCAGGCGGTGCTGAGCTCCGTAGGAGCCCCTCACCAATCAGGAGCCGGAGATCTGAAGAAGCGTCACCATCTTGCAGCCGGTCCCGCAGTTTAAGAGCAGCAGGTCTGTACATGTTACCATATCGTTCTCCTTCACAGAGAAAGAAGAAGTCATGGCAAGAACCAAGCAGACCGCTCGTAAATCCACCGGAGGCAAAGCCCCGAGGAAGCAGCTGGCCACCAAGGCTGCCCGTAAGAGCGCCCCGGCCACGGGCGGCGTGAAGAAGCCTCACCGTTACAGGCCCGGTACCGTGGCTCTGAGAGAGATCCGTCGCTACCAGAAATCCACGGAGCTGCTGATCCGCAAGCTGCCCTTCCAGCGCCTGGTCCGAGAAATCGCTCAGGACTTCAAGACCGACCTGCGCTTCCAGAGCTCCGCTGTCATGGCTCTGCAGGAGTCCAGTGAGGCTTACCTGGTGGGCCTGTTTGAGGACACCAACCTGTGCGCCATCCACGCCAAGAGAGTCACCATCATGCCCAAAGACATCCAGCTGGCTCGTCGCATCCGCGGAGAGAGAGCTTAAACTCTCTGCTGCTGCTCCACAAACCACAACGGCTCTTTTAAGAGCCACCTCACTCCTCACTCAAGAGCTCACTCCTCTACTCAATAACACATTTCATCATCAAGGACAATTGGTAAATTTATTCATTTCAAAAATACTTTATAGATCCCTGAGGGGAAATTTCAAAGAGGTTAATGGAGTTACAAGAAACGAAATAACATCTCAGGCCATAACCTAATTTAATAATAGGACAACATACCAAAGCGCAAAATGATGGTATGATAAAGTATTTAGTGAGAAACATCGTTTAGTCCATCTAGTATGTCCAGTTTATGGACATATGAGGCAATAATAAACCATTAAGTGGTCTCCTCTCCTTAAACTGTCTGCCGCTGCTCCACACACCACAACGGCTCTTTAAAGAGCCACCTCACCCCTACTCACAACACACATTTCACTATCAACAATAGGTTGATAATAAACCACTAAGTGGTCTCCTCTCCTATCGCCTGAAGAACCTTTGTCCAAGCTTTTCTGATAGATTAGGGGAGACCAGGATGGTTGTAACATGGGATAGTTGTAACACTTTAAATTTATCCAATCAGCAACAAGTTACAAATCATCTGATTCACTCTGCACATGCTCAGTTTAGTCCTTACTCCACATGTGAGGAAGTAGCACCTCGTGGCAAACACAGCTAATTTTAGAGGGAAAAAACTCATTTTGAGGTAAAAAAAAGTATTTTTTTCTGCTTTGTTTCTTTTAGTAATAGCATTGCCTCCTTTGTACATAAACTCATCAAACTTAAATCATGTTAATTATGTGTTTGTGTAGATATTTTCCATGCAAGTTAGTGATAATGTTTTAGTTGTTGGTCTGTAAGACAAGTGAGTTCATGGCTACAACAGTCTGGGTTAGTTGTAACAATATCAATATGGGTCAAGAAACAAGACAAATCAACTCACACAAACCAACAACGACCCAGGCTGTCAAAGAAAACATCAGGAAAGAAAAAACAGAAAATGCATAACATTGTGCTACAGGACACAGATTCCTCAGATGATGATGACACTTTTTGCATTGTGTGCATGGAATACTTCAAAAACTCAAAACCAAAAGAGGTTTGGGTTCAGTGTACATCCTGTAGTCTGTGGGCCCACGAAGCCTGTACTTCAGGAGGGCCATACATTTGTCACCACTGTGACTCCGATGATGATAGTGACTAAAATACTTGCCGCGCGCACACACACACACACACACACACACACACACAAATGTTCACTTGTTGATTCTGTTGCATATTTGTGCATTTTGTTCAGTTTTATAGCTGTGTATAAATGCTAGCATAAGACACAGAGAGACAGATGTTCAAGTTTTGAAGCAGGAGCACATTTGCAGAATTTGTTTAGTTTTAATGTTATGTTCAAATATTGGTGTAACACACACACACACACACACACACACACACACACACCAATTATGTAAGTGTTAAATACAAAGTTTTCAGTATCTTAAAGGGATAGTGCACCCAAAAATGAAAATTCATTTGCTGCGGCTGGATCACTATGGATGAGCAGTATGGAGGTACTCTGTGGATTCAATTTTGTGTTCTTGGACGTTAGTCTGGGGAGCCGTCTACCACTGGGTATCCTAGCTGCTCCACCCGCCGATCTCCGCAAGGGATGTGAGGACTCTAAAACTTCACCAGGGCCTCCGTCAGCATATGGGTGAGTAGATAATGGGTGAATTTTCATTTTTGGGTGCACTATCCCTTTAAGTTCTTGTCATACCCTCTTTTCATAATGTTACATTTCACCCCATGTTCTATTACAACTAACCCAGACTATAGATTGTAACATTTCACTCCTTGTGTTTGAGACTAAACCATGGATTTTCTGTTTGTGTTGCAGAGACAACAACTACACCATTTATTAGCTGATACATGTAACTAGTTTGTATCACATTTTGAATGCACTGGCTTAAAAGAGAGCCGAGTTACAGACAGAAATGTCAAAAATGTTACAACCATCCCCGGTCTCCCCTAATAATACAATATTGGCTCTCAAGCCTTAAGGATGAGCAAGAAGACACCTGAACCTAAGAAGGTCAAGAAGCCGGCCAAGAAAGCCACTCCTAAAGCCAAGAAGCCTGCAGTGGCCAAAAAGCCCAAGACAGCGGCAGCTAAGAAGCCAGCAGCTGCTAAGAAGTCTCCCAAGAAGGCCAAGAAACCCGCAGCGGCCAAGAAAACAGCCAAGAGCCCCAAGAAAGCTGTAAAGAGCCCGAAAAAGGCCATCAAGAGCCCCAAGAAACCTGCAGCTAAGAAAGCTCCTGCAAAGAAAGCTGTCAAGCAACAGAGGCTCTTTTAAGAGCCACCCACACCATCCTTAAAGAGCATTTCCCTTCTACTTTATATTGATTGCAGTTGTGTTAGCAACTTCACTATCTGCTGCAAGTGGAAAAATAGGGAAACACAAAATCATTTATAACAAGCTATTATTTATTTGAAACTTACAATATAGCTCACAAGATAAGGAGCCATAGTTTGCGTTTCTCCTAACCTTAGAGCTACAGAGTCAAAAAAAAATCCAATATTAGATTATTTCTTTAACCATGTCATGTATGAATGGACTTTGAATGGATGCTGATAGATTTACGCACCGCCTCTCCGGCAGCGTCCAGTTGCAAGCCCGTGCGTAATACAGCCTGCTATGTTGCGCACACAGCTGCAGAGCGCCGTTCTCAGCATTTGTTGGTGCAGTACAGAAATTAATCTCAGTGGTCTATTGACTGTGTGGGGCTGTTCCACAGGCCTGTCTCTCCTTTGGCATGGTTCCCCTGGAGAGCATCTGTGCGCACTCCACCAAAGGAAATTCATCTTCCACGGCTTTGCAGAATGACAATGGAAGACATTTGCATTGATGTGTCCTGGTCCTCTCCGTGCTCCTTCATTGGCTTTTTGTGCTGGACGTCTCCTGTTTCTCCATGACTCACTTTGTACTTAGAGTTATGTCGGTGTGATTCATGCTGGGTTATTCGATTGTGCGCTCTCCCTCCTGTCAGAGCATGGAGCGCTGTTCTTTCCCCACACTGCTCCTCCCTCCTCCTCATCTCCGTTTTCTCACAGCAGTGGCCTTTATTGTTCCCAGTGTTCATTCACTTTGCGGAGAACTCCATGTTTTCTGTGCCCTACCACTGTGCGCCATTACGCAGTGGTTGGGGATGGGATGTTTATAATTCATTTTAGTCTTGAAGTAGGTGTGTTTGTGCTTGTGGTACTGGAGAGACTCTGGTAGATATGATACATGCCCTGCTTCGCCCCTATCCCGCCTGCTATAGTCTAACCTTTTATTTACAATTACGCAATGCGAGATAAAGGCATACCGTAACTCCAGATTCTGGGTATTAAATAAATACATAAAGTAGAAGCTGAAGGAAAAGCGGTTTATCCCGCCACGGGCCCGAAATGTACCTCAAGGCTTACACTCTGTCCTATCGCACACCATTAATTTATAAAAGGAGGTTGTGAGAAGTACACTTCAGTCAAGGCTTTAGTCACCTCCAGGCTCTTTAAAATATTCACACAGAATGAAGTGAGCAAGATTTGGCGTGGATTGGGGAAGAAACAATCAAAAAAAGATATTTAAATGCTACCTGACAATCGAGACGGAAAATATACTCTTCATATTAATAAATGGGTGGCCCTTAAAAGGACCTTTGATTTTCAGTAATACATAGTCAATGTTTAACCTCCGAAGCCGTACAGAGTGCGACCCTGCCTCTTCAGAGCATACACCACATCCATGGCGGTCACAGTCTTCCTCTTGGCGTGCTCGGTGTAGGTGACGGCATCACGGATCACATTCTCCAGGAACACCTTCAACACACCGCGGGTCTCCTCGTAGATCAGACCGGAGATACGCTTCACTCCACCACGGCGAGCCAGACGGCGGATAGCGGGTTTGGTGATTCCCTGGATGTTATCACGGAGAACTTTACGGTGACGCTTAGCGCCTCCTTTACCGAGTCCTTTTCCTCCCTTGCCTCTTCCGCTCATTTTCACTGCTCAGATTCTTCTGCACAATAACGTTCACTGCTGAAGTCACAC